TTTAAACTGATATTTCAGACAGGTGTTACCCTAGACCCCTCACATCCTAGCATTCAACCCAATTACACACTCATAACAGTCAAGTTGAGTTGTTGGGAATGAGCACTAAATACGCTGCCATAATTTAACAAGGCTGGTGGGCTACAAATAGGGAATTCTAATTGGTCGATTTAATTGTAATGTTTTCGATTCATTCACGTGCAAGCGATTTGACAAAATGCCAGTGATTTGATACAGATATGACAGATTCTGCTGCACGTTCACTTTTCGCTGGTCATTTTACACGACTTTCGTCGACTCACTTTACACCACAGTATTTATCCCCTTAACGCCAAATATTTAACCCACCCACATCCAAATCGTGCTTTTGAGCCAGCAAGTTGTTAGAACATTTCAAGCTCCCGACTAAAGTCCAAAAATTCAGTTCTTCTGGGCTCTCACAATTGCAGGGGTAGTACTACTGATAATATGATCGATTGTAACTGACACTTAACAATTCGGAGGGTTTTCCCATCGTGAATACTGCCGTCTCTGGCACAGTGGATTATAAAATCACTTGAATGGATGCAATATTTATTAATTTCAACGAATCAAGTCAACGGTCTTAACCCAGTTTACTATGGAAACTTCTACTGATCCATCAAAAGTCGCAGAACACGTGAGACGAGTAGCCTCGTCTGAAAATTATATCTTCAAATATTTGTGATGGTTTGGTCACAAACAAAACATGGCATCAGCCTCGATTCATGCATGTTACTCGCACAATTCACCACATGTCTGCAGGACATTGAAATAAAGCACATGATTATACCGACGTCATAATTACGTGCAGCTGACATTAATAAACAATGGCACCACATGGCCTACCTTCTCGCTAGGGGTGCACATCGGAACGCGGTTTGCTAGGAAGACGAGCTTAGCCACGATGGGTTCTCGTCAAATTTTACCGAGCCACTAGCTTCTGTTGTTTAATATACACCTACCCTGCTTGGACCCATTATCTAATAGCATTTATTTTCTGCTCGATTGTAATTAACCTACAATTTAAGAGTTAAGTCTAAAATGGTGTTATGTCAACGTGCCAACTTGCCGTTTATTAGGCGGCCACATTTTTTTTCTTCACAATTAAATTTGGACTGTCTCGGCGATTATAGACACACCAAAATTATAAAACACTGCTACCTGATTGTAGATTTAACCAGTAATGTAGTAAAACTAAAGTAATAGCATAAATTCACTTATTTTAATGTACTTATTTCTAAGCATGGCCAAACGTCTGATATTCCATTCTTGAGTTTAAACAATAAAAAAACTACCTTTCAAGTTGTTTATTAAAATCATTAATTGTCTACATCTTTAATCGAACAAACCTTTCCCCCAGTATTAAGGTTGTACATTTCGATCGCTTATCATTATTGTATAAATAAAATTAAATTGGTGTTTGTAAGTTACCCGTTTTTGAATAGCGTGTTCAAGGAATCAAAACTGTACTGCAAAAATCAGGACTCGGTTATCAGATTTAACGTTTTACCAAAATTCCACTCACCCTCCATCTGGCTAAGCATTTGAATAATGTGAATCTGGACTAACCCAGACAGTACGTTTACGATCTCACCGCGAGTTGCAGGCAAGTTACGCTCACACAACCAATCGCTTGCCGTCTTGACGTTTTACACCTGTACGCAAAGCGAGAAACACCTAGCATAGACGCTCGTCGTTGTTCATGCTTGCGTAACCAAAGCGAACAGTCAAAGGCCTTTCAGAGTCGCCTTTTAAAATTACAGGTCAGTAAGCTAAATTTCATGCTTCAAATGCCATCAAGCTGGCATGCATTCAGTTTTATTCACCAGTCGCTCCACTCACCGCTTGCCACTTTACAAACGTTGTTGCATAGCTCACTTGAGTTTAAATGCATCCATTCTGTGACACTTTTCACTTATAATGTCGAAGTTATGATTGAAATTCTGCAGCAATATCATTATATCAACCAGCTTCCTGTGTTTGGTATCGAATCAGGCCTATGTGATACCTCTATTCCTCTAAAAATATGTGCAATTAGCCAAACTGTAAACACTCCTGAGCTAAATTTACGAGTCTACATGGTTAAGATGTAGTCTCTAGGGAAACATAACAGCAGTCGCTTTGATTTTCATTTACAATTCTCCATTCTTTGGATTTCAGCCAATTTCGCAGGGTTAGAAGCAACGAAGTGACGTAGGGCAAGCAGAGTTGTTTTTAGAGCTGGTTCGTATTTCCCAATATTCGGATTGTTTTCAAATGACTAAAAACTCTCCTTGGCGTTACAGGCACTTGGCAAATGAAATTCTTTGGAAGACGTCACTTTGAGACTTCCAACTTTGCTGGTAAAATTGGCTCGTTATTTACAACCAGTAGATGCGAGAATAATGTTTGGATTTAGATCATCACAAAAATTGTAAATTATCAACTATTTATGCCTCATTGCAACAACACCCACTTATTACCTATAATTCGTGTTGCTGAGGCAGATGGTGGCTTCAAGTTCTTAGGCTCTCGACTATGGTCCACGAAATTGCATATTTTGGAGTCTGAAAACAGCAGGACTAGTGCGACTGATCTTGGAATCGACAGTAACAAGGTCTTGGATTTTTCAGGAATTCTTCGACAGCAAATATTACCATTTTTGGCGCATGAAGTTGCAAAACCACTTGAAAGGAAGCAACGCTGGCCTTTTCGGCGAATTGAGCTATTGGGTTTACCCACTTCACAATGGGAAATGCGACTGATTCATGACAAATCGTCTCGCATTATTGACATTGCCGTTTTGAAGTGAAGCGTGATCCGTCCCGCCTGACTGCTATGTTCCACCCGTAACCAGAACCACACACCCAGATAACAAGCACACGAGATCCCGTGTCTGACGCTATACCCACCTCTTTAGTTCAGAATAAAGTCAAGACCCCACTCAGAGAAAGTTTACTGTCTTAGTCTAAGGCCGAGTAATGTCAGAATGTAGCCAATTATATTATTCAGAAATAGCCTTCACCTGATGGATCAAAGCGAATTAACACAGAACTTCCAGTGGGGTGCCGTGGGTGACTCATTCGTTTAATTGCCATGGTTGGAGGATATGTGTACACAAAGACTAAATGTTAAATCTTGATGAGTCGTCTAGGGGACGCTTGATCAAAAACACTCACTTTGCAAACTACCTTGATATGTGGCAGATACTTGTATTGCAGACATTGATTCCTATGGGTCGATGGTGCGGTCTAGCTTCTGCCAAACACCGTATCACACTTGCCATTATCCTTCGGTAGGACAAATCACATTCGCTTCCGTAGGTGACGGCAAAGCACAAATTGAAAGTACATTAGCGTTTGATTTGCACTGCAGGAAAATACCTAAATTAATGGGGGCTCATTCAGTTATTTAGCCATCAGGTCTTGCTGTGGTGTTTTGTGTTTGCAGCACGAACGAGTCAGTGAAATGCGACGCTAAACGAGTGAAGGCAGCCAATCACACACCGAGAATGAGGAGAAACAGAGGTGTCATGTGAGGAGAGTTAAAAGTTATTCCCCAGCAAACTACCAACCACGTGCATTCATCGCTGGTTTTGGAGTAAATATGTGCCATTGGCCAATGTCCATGGCTCCACACTCTGCCGACAGTTGAAGTCGCAATTATCCGTGGCCAAAGCACCCTGCTTAGTTTTGATGCAACGAACTACATTGGATTATCACTTGACTGGCAGATATACGGTTTGCTGTTAGCAATTTCCTTACAACAGTTCGTAATGGGAATTGCTTTCAAACGTCCCCTAGGACAATTGAGTACATCGGTGATATCTTTCGATCACAAATGTCAATCAACTCCAATGTCGCCTTTTGCCCGTTACAAAAATCACACGATCACGTCACCCAAACTCAAGTCCTCTGCCTAACACAAGCCCCACCAATGCATTGTCAGTGGAAAGTCACGACCTCTACCACTTACAGAAGCAGCGATTCAGTTGGGCATCGAGTCGGTTATTTTAGGAGCAGTAACATTGTCAGCAAATCCTCCATTAAGTGATGCCTTGGCTGTGGAACGTGCTAAGAAATTGCGGCCAAACAACAGCAAAGCATCGCTCCTTTTCGCTGTCACCTCAAACCTCCAGTTTCCTTTCTGAATGTCCTTTTAGCTTTTCCGAAATTAACGCGTGAAAGTGCAAAAATATTTGCTGGGGTACATAAATGCCTAATGAAATGCTGACTACTTTAAAAATGTCAGTGCATCTATTTTTAATGACATCTAACACATGATTTCACAGAGCAAACGGTGTCTGCCTTGATCATCTTTACAGAAAAGAAGAATTGGACCAGAACGTAGCCGACGCTCACCATATCCAAAACAATGTCCGTAAATGATCTGGTTAAATGTAGGCAGTCACAAAACTTTTAAAGGGAATTGAGGCCGACGGTTCAAGTCTTTCTGTCTGCTGGAAAACAGAAGAGTTGATCGTCAGAATAGTAAGGCCTTATGAAGGCTCGATGCCCATCATTAGGCATGAGCCTGAACGATTTGAATGAGAGCATTGATCATCGGAAGAGTATGCATTGATGTCATGGTATATTGGAAACTGAATCAACCCGAGCCAAATTCGAGTGAAGGCAGAACATTGTGAGCTTGGGGTGAGCCGAGGCCGGCTTGAGATTGGTGAGAGAGAGAGAGCGTAGTGCGATAGGAATAGGCTAGGTTACTGCAGAGCGATTGTTCATTGCCATCGAATGGGTATGCGGCAGCTTGAGGGTAAGCGTTTCCTGTGGAGTGTGAAATAGCATAACGACACTACCGCAAAATCCCCGACTTCCGTGTCGTACAAGACCAAACGTTTACAAGGGTGAAATTACTATTCCGTAGAGACACCAAGCTGGGACAGATGATGCTGAAGATTAAGCATTCACACGACTGTATTCCTCAAGACATTGTCAATTTTATATTCTCAATTGTCAGTCGTGTTTATGCGCACTAACTTGCGTAGTCACCAGTTAGTGTGCCGTCTCCTCCCTTCCTATTGGCCCACTCACCTTTGGGTGCCCTCTTACTTGTACTCAAGGCCGCGCACACCACGTGTAGGTGGGTGCGTGTGAACGCGCACGCGGCCTTTGGCTGAGACGGTTAAGGTGCCCTGCACGAGGTCTCGTCATGGCCGTCGCTGTTTGGAGTTTGATGACTCATATGCCTTTTGTCGTGACCTGCCTAATGCGGGGGAAGACCCTAACGCGGTTGGAGTGCCCAAACAGTATACCGGTAAAGCGTTGTAGGTGACCACGTCGGGCTCATCCGTTGTCGAAGCCACAACGTCCACGTTAAACTCACACGGGGCAGCCAGACACTGTAGGCCTAGTGACATGAGGACGAGTGAGGCAATCGGTTATTGGATGGGTGGGCTCATTTGTGTTCGTTGAGGAGTGGTGAGCTCAGTCATGTAAACTTTAAAGTCGCAGACGCGCACAGGGGGAACATTACAAGTGGAGGTTGTTAGCCACTGGAGTTTGGATGGACTAGCAATGAGTATAAACGCCTGAATGATATAAAGCGTGGTGAGAGTGTCAAGAAGGAGCGCACGCACGGGTACGAAGTTGGTTGTGAGATGGGAACTATGTGAGACAGGAAGGAATGAAGTACTAATGTGTTCGAACGGATATGAGTCAGTTCAAATCACCACGGTCTCAGCACTCATGCGTCTCCATTGCAGAACATTCAGTTAGACCATTCCGTTCACAATCTTCATGAATTCAAGTGCCAAATGTAAAGCATACACGGGAGGAAAAAGCGTTTTTCCAAAGACTAGCCGTGTGCCTGAATTCACGTTGTGGTGACAATAACCGGATGATCCACGGATGCAGTGGATGCTAGCGAAATATCGGGAAGTGCGTGATTTCAAATGCGTTCGTACCCAGTTCAATTCGGGAGGTGTAAATATTCCGGACGATTGAAATTAATTTAAACTAGAACACCGAGGAAGCATTGTGGTATTATTCGATTGAGAGATGATACGCTGATAAGAATTGAGATAAGGTTCTGAAATTCTATTAGTTCCTAAGCATAAATCTACAAACATTCAGAACAATTCGGGGTTGATGAATGAACCTGCAACAACACTGCATCAACCCTGTGCTAGGCCTAAATCTACCATCGTAGCGAAGTAGTTCCGAATGAAGGACAATAAGGACTTTTTGCAAAATCAACTGCTGACAACACAAGTATGCATTTGGATCACTTTGAACTCATAGGAAACTTCCAAAGGACAGGACTGCAAATTATAACAAGGTGATTGGTTTACGTGCTAAAGGTATACTGTGTCCAGCTAATGGAATAATACTGAATGCCAGAAGGCAGATAGAAGGGGATTGGTACAAGAACAAATAGCATTTCAACTGGATGCCAATTAATTCTTAATAAGCGTTTATAACCAAAAAGTTAATATTGCAAGACGGAAGTTCTATTTCATGTAATTCACGATGGCAGTAGCAGTAATGTGAGCAGTGTTTTGAGCGGGACTCTCACCGAGTCCTTTCGGCGTAGTTCCAACGGCTGCGGCGTTGAGTAGCGTCAGACTGGTGATCGCCTCTGTGAGCTTAAGGACGACGTCGGCAAAACAGCATGTCGCGAGCACCAAGCGAAGAGAGAAATCGTGAGCGAACACAGTTCGCAAGCGTGAACGAACGTAGTTAACAAGTGTGAGCTACAACAATTCAATCGATCCACGTGAATGCACTTCACGTAGCTAAGCGCACTCAGAGACCTATATAAGGCGGAGGTATGTCAAGACTGACGACTCGGTGCGTTGTACAACTACGCTACTGCAGTACCAACAAATGAGTTCGTCGGTCGGGCCACATTAATGACAGACATATTACCAGGGACAGAACAAGCAGTCTCGCCGTATGCACCTAGTGGTGATGTGGTTGATGGGGTTTCAAAGACGACTCTCGTGGCGCTTCAGACAATTGTCAAGAAGTTCGCAATTGGTCTGCGAGAAAAGCTGTAGCCGAGTTTGCAAGAAAGGCAGTTAGATCTCTCGAGTAAGCTTGATCAAAGCCGAAAATTCATTGCCGCCTTCCTGACAACAGGTTTCAACCGTGTCGTGATGCAGGTACTGACTGTTATTTTATGTTCTGACTACGTCCACATGTGGTTTAGCATCGAAATCAAAAAATAAATTATAGCTGTCTTCTGCTTAATGAAATAGCCTCAACGCAAGGCATTTACCGCCTGTGAGTTGAACACAACTTGAAGTTTATCAAAACAGTCACTTGCTCTGAAAGAAGTAGCAGCAAAGGAGTAATGCAAGTGGAGCATTATCCGATCTAAGCAAATGATTTATTGCTTTTATATAAAACATGAAGAGCTCGAAGGTACTTAGCAGTGTTGCTGGTCAAGTCCCTTAAATGGGTCCAACTTGGGGTTTACGCATGTCCATTTCATCGAATCGACAGCGCAATTAAACCAACTCGCATGTCGCTTTCTTTGTCCTTTCAGCTGGCATGCATGCGCCTGCGTCTGGCATGCATTCAATAGGACAGCGATCTGTGAGCCGAGTGACTGCGAGCTATCTGCAAGTCTCTGTCTCCACTCGCCTTCATCAGCGACGACGAAGCGGTCGACTTTGATCCAGGCCATGGCCTTACCTTCGCTTTCGCTCACCTCCTCAACTTGACGACCGACAGCGCCTGTTGCCGCATCTCAATAGAGCCGCTATTCGCACACATCGAGAACCCCGTGATCCTGCTTCTCTTCACATCAGGCAACACCTCACCGACCCCAAACTGCTTTGATTGATTCCAACCTAGATTTTTTTATCAATGCACCTTTTTTCCATTTGTAGAATAGGTCTGGTTCGATCGTGTCCCGCCGTTGTGCAGAGCAGCGCGCTTGACAACATTAGGTGGCACCAACTCTCGTCGTCTGCAGGCAACACAAATCAATCCCTGCATGCGACAAAAAATTTCACCAAGATACGATTGACAGAGTATCTAAGATAGTGCAATAGTGTCACACATATCTTTGTGTGTGCAATCACCTGGATTACTACTGACGTGTTGATGGATCGAACGGCAGCGTAGCCCAACCTCACGGTATCCTCAATACTCTTCTTTTCCATTTGCAGAATCAGGCGGATTCGATCGTGGCCAGCCGTGGTGCAATGGAGTGCGCTTGCCAGCATTACGCGCAAGCACCTCTCGTCGCCTCGAATTGGGCCCGCCTGAAGACCACAGACCTCGAACAATTCCTCCAGGAGATGGCATTTTGGGTCGTCGATGCCAGCAACTGTAGGTACTCCCAATGCCGTTCGAAACGTCACGCCTGAGACATCAGGTAGAAGGTCTTCCAGAGGACTGTCTGGTTCCATCTGAGTGAAGCCAGCCAGATATACCATGCCCGGGAGAATTTCCAGCTGGTGCAGACGGCCTATCACAATCTGCTTCAATGTTGTTTCACTTAAATTAAGCAGTTTCTTTATGGTTCCTGCCTTCATGAACGATTCGACAAGCACGTTGGTGATGGTGTCTCTGCACAGGGCATCTACGTCCGAATTAGCAGGAAATGTTTGGCCAGGCCGGTATTCACGAATAAACAGTCTACTCTTGAGGCACATTGTCATCTGGCCTGTCGATTCGCAATTGCTGCACAACACATTCAGTAGTTCTCCAATACGCCGATGTTGGGCAAAATGTGGTAAGTTGACTTGAAAGCCAAGGGAGGACTGCTTATGCATAAATACCAAACAGAGCTACACTGCAATTCGATCCATCAATACATCAGTGGTAACTCAGGTAAGAATGTACTCGGAAACGTTTGTTATTGGGTATTTCTTTGAATTGCCTTTGCAATGCTCTTTATATCCTGTACACATTTTCCTCACTGAAAATCATACATCTGATGTTCACGCCTGATATCTAGCATACTTGGCACATTGAGTGAGTCGAACACTTTGTGCGTCCAGGCTATTTCATTACTGTTGACTCCAACGACTGGAACTGATGTCGAAGGCAACCACAACCGACAGTTATATGGGCAATCAGAGTTGTTTGCAACTGAGATGCAAGCATTCTACTTGTGATGCATATCCTGGCACTATTAACAAAACAGATGCTGGTGGCAGTTAGAAAGTTTGAAGTCCGGTGGCATCACATGTAACAGAGGAAGCCGACCGAGCAAGCTATCTGAAAAAGACATCAGCGTCTGTGTTCAGACAATTTTCTATTCGTGAGCTGAAAATAGAGTCGGATTTGGCGCTCTATTCTGAACATTTACTCGTCGTTTGTGCAATCAGAATGCGTGTTTTGAATGATTAATAAATTATTTAATTTGCGTTTCCATTTTGACAATTTTCAAATGATACTTGAGATATAATACGAAGGGAGTTTGTGGGATTGGGAGGTCAAACGATGTTTTGAAAAAAGGAGTCATGGTTGAATATTGAAGTTTGCAGAAATGTTAATCGACTTTCGCGCGCTACTGCTGACAAAACTGCCAGGTTGGAATCTTCAACACGAAGTTACAATTCGTGTAAAGGAAGGTGGCCAATTTTCGGAACGATGACACATTTCAGATACTTGAACGAAACTTTGAAATGCTAAGTATGTCGTAATCCTACAACCACATCTCGAACAAATAGGTTTGCGTTAAATTTTCGCTTACAAATCAGACTTTCGGGATTTAATGAAGAAAGGTAGCACTCCGCTTTCAGTAGTACTCTTTTATTGAGCCGACAAGAATTCAGTATTAAAAGTACCTGACTTATTTTGCCGCCTTCATACTGTTTATTTCTGAACGTATATGTTTTGAAACTGATAGTTCTAATAGCGTTTTTACAAAGCACATTGGTTTTCAACCGAATCCTGCATTTACTTGATATTTCAATTCATTTCTGTAATTTTGGGCTGTTAGGATCTGAGTGACGTTGTCGGTTCGTCGACGCATGTACCAGCCCACACTGAACTATCACTCAAGTAATTTTTGTTAATCGGGGATTAAATAACTGCTCAGTGTGTCCAGGTATTATCGTGCTTAAATTCGAACCTCCCTTTGCTCAGTTCCTCTACCAACTTATCATTCCCAACGTTAACCTGCTTGCCGATACCGTCATTGGCCGTTGATATGACATTTACGAAGTTATTTTCGCACAACCCTTTGTCAACACAATTGCCCTTACCATGCCAATTAAACGAATGAGTCACCCACGACACCCCACTTAGAGTCCTGTGTTTATTCGCCTTGTTCGATCAGATGAAGGCTATCTTCGACTGATTTTAAGTGGCCACCTTTTGACATTACTGGGCCTTAGACTAGGACAGTGCAGAATCTCTTAGTGGGGTCCTGATATTTTTTCTGTACTGCAGAAGTGGTACTGGCGTCAGGCAAAGGATCTGTTGTGCTGGTTATCTGAGAGTGTGTTTCTGGTTACGGGTGGAACATAGCAGTCAGGTGGGGCGGATCACGTTTCACTTCAAAATGGCAATGTCAATAATGCGAGACGATTTGTCATGAATCAGTATCAGTTCGCATTGTAAAGTGGGCAAGCCCATTAGATCAATTCGTTGAATAAGCCAGCGTTGCTTCCTTTCAAGTGGTTTTGCAATTTAATGCGCCAAAAATGGCAATATTCACTTAAGAGGGGCAAAATCACGAATCAGTTGCAGTTCTTATTGTAAATTGGGCAAGCCTGTTAGCTCAATTCTTCGAATAAGCCGGCACTGCTTCACTCCTGAACCCTCTAAGGGCCCGTTACAGTAGACTCTTAAAATATGAAATTCATGAAGTTAACTCATAAAATGAATTTCCTTACTCAATCGCTTGTAACATCAAGAGGAATTTGTAGATAATTTTAAAAAAAGAAAAATTTCTTGGAAATTCGACTGATTAGCTTATGTGATTTAAAGATACCGGGACACATCTGAAGGCAAATCGCCTTAGAGATTTCTTCGGGGAAATTAATGACAGCAGATTTATTACTCATGTGGTAATTCACTGTGGCTCGTCGCATCATAAGTAGGTATAATGCATTGGCCAATACTACTTGTGGTCGAATCTGTGTGCAATGAAGTATATGGCGTTTGATACTTTTGGAACGTACGCTTTGCTGCTCAAGTCTGTGATGTTTTCAGGTGGCTCAACAAGGCCTTTGGTCATATTCGCAGTCATCGGAAATTTTCAAAAGCATAGTACTTTTATGCTAAGCGTTTCAAGCTGCTCCCAAGAGGTGGAAACGTTACACAATAAATGATTGGCTGTTCGAGTGTGAACGTTATACTACGTGCACCAACTGTTTGGATCCGTCTGAATTCACTTTTCCAACAACTGCTGAGCGACATGGACGGTGAGTGCGTTATCGTATCATGTCTGATGTCCTTGTCCCTTTAACCTGGCCTATTAAGAACAGATAACTTGGGAAAATCCTTTACATTCCTGCCTGATGACCCGAATATGATTTATATTTTGTGCTATAGTTTTAGGCAAAATTAGCAGCATGATACTAAAGACAGTGAATTCGCAAGTCTAAGCACATAGGCGTAAAGAATCACTGCATATCAGGCTTAGTATCTACTTCGATCTATCAAGCATTCGGGAGTAGTTTTACTGTTCAGGTTAGTTTACAAATAAATAATGCAAAAAACGGTCAGTGGTTGTGAAAATAAGTAACATGAATTCTGCGTATGCATAGCGCAATGTCGTAGTAATTAGCCATCAATTCTACATGTGTGTCGTTGCAGAGAATACAGCACTGATAAGCACACACTAGCCTCAATGAATATTGATAAGAATTTAAGTAACGAGAAATTTTCCGGCGCTGTCAATGTACACACGTTGTTTATCAATAGCAGTAACACGCGAGCACAACGTTGCTTCGTTTTGTGCATCATTGTAAAAGCGTGCAGACGTTCATTAACGTGCACAAGCAATATACGTGATCTGCGGCTGATACTACTACGATTCATTCATGCACAGTGTTCCTTTTGCAGGTCTGACACTTTCCACATTTGACTGGATAATGACGACTTCGTTCAGTAAACTATCGAGACGTTTGCAATGTAAGTGATCAAGGATGTGGAACAGTTATTCCCTTAGAACCAGTAAATGCGACGAGAAATTAGTGTGGTTTGCAGATAGAGGGGATCTTGTATGCAGAATTTTGAGTGTCACTCCTCTAAAGACCCGATCTAGCATCGTCCTAGTTCATTGAATCTATCCTGCTATTGATTGGAATCAAACATATTTCTGCATTTAAGCACGTTATCAGTAAGTGAGACGTGAGACACCAGTCAAGTAAGGTTAGTTATAGATGTTGATTGGCAAAATGTCAGGCAAAACAGCACTGGGGATTCCAGTATCGTCGGATGTATAGCTGCTTACGCCCAAAACATCCACGTTTCAGTGTTCATGAATTGGCTAAACCACGCCAAAGTCCAATGCAAATGAAAGTTGGAGTGAATGCATTTCGCTGAGCCTTTGACCTAGGCATTGTTCACACGAGTATTAACAGATTCATGTGAGTTTATTCTTGATTGTCACGTCATTCATTGTGGAATAACTGGAAAAACTTTAAGAACTGCATGTGTGGACGTTGATTGTGAACTTAGAATCCGCTAAACAAGTGCCTGAAGCCTCAAAATTAACAGAATACTATTTGTGGTAAGAAGTGACAGTCATGTAACCAATGAGTTAAGCTAAAAATCTCGCGGACAAATATTTTGCTGCACAGCACATAGTTCTAGATGTCCTTTGATTACTGAAGATAAAGGTGAGATATTTTGATGAGCTGCATTCCATAAATTTTCCCAATTTTCACTCGAGCAGTACATGAGGTTGACGCCAGCATAATATGTAAACCAGAACGCCTTGTGTTGCATCCTTAGAGTCGCCTCAGATGGATATTGTGTTCCAGGACTTTCAAACTCAGGGCCCCATTATAGTAATCGTGTGCTTACACGTAAAATCGAAAAGCGACGTGTAGATTCCGAATAAGTGGGGCAAGGACATAACGCCATGTGTCTGTAGCACCCTGGAGAAAAACCAATTCCTCACAGATAACAATGTTAGAAAGACTGCGAATATTTTTCCGAAGGTCTTCGAATGGCCAAGCAGACAGCCGGCAACTCAAGCAAATAAGTAATTTTACCTATTTGAATGGTTGTCAGTTTGGTTTCGCAAACAACTACTTTGACGTTTCTATCCAAACAGGAACAAAGCTCGTTATTTGCTCCAAATGCTGAGTGGGTAGTCGACTTCATGCTCTCGCTTCACCAAATGAAACGTCATATCATTTTATCACCCGTATATTGCAGTCACCTGCCACTAATACAAATCAAGGCCTTAAAATGCACACAGTTTCAAATTTAAACAGCGAAATGCACTTCCTACTAAGTGGCATCGCAGGAGGTTTATCGGACGTCTTTAATTACCAATTCCGGTGACATTCAATTTGGGGTCATCAGTAACTGCCATTGTACAACGCGTGACAAAAAATGAATGCGCGTCATCCGGGGACGTTAGGTGGTGTCAAGATAGGCAATTACTGCACAACACCTTCAAGAGTACGCCAATTTCTCGACAGTGGACGAATTGTGTTAAGTTGATTTGAAGGCTAAGCTTTCGTTAGCC